GATTGGTTCAGAAAGGTTGAACGTTCTCTTAGTAGCTATAACTCATACCTGCCCCGGCCATTAGAGCAGTTGCGCGGGGATCCTGTGTACTCGTGTGCAGTTATACCTCCATTGGACCTGTTCGTAATGAGACCGAACAAGTAGCACCAGACTATGCGGCATCAATCCACAACATTGATAATTGATCGTACACAGAGGATCAACTCGCTTCACTGCGATACTACTGACCTACACCAACTACTAGAGCGAATGAATGAAAGCGAAACTCCAGATTAGGTAGTTCACGAATAGCCATGCCTGTGAACGACGGACGCGCGTTAAAACTAATATATGCTACTAAAGATAGGTTAGCGCCCACCACGAGATTGCGTTCCCATGAAAGGCTGGGAGACTTGCGCTACCAGAAAACAGAAATTTCGCAAAATGAAAGCTTGTCCCGTTGAAGAAACTTTTGTCAAAGGATGTCGCACTACGCCAGGCGTGCACCGAGGCAATAGGTAATTAAAGGATATGCTGAAGTCGCTCGATTATAGGAGCTGTATAATAACGTGGAACCCTAGTACATACCCTACCACTCGGGAGCACATTCGCGCAAACCAGGTAAATTGCGTATGATTTGCGATCGTTAAGCTTCATATCATAGAGTTTATCTAAAAATAACAACTCACTCGTCCCGGTGTGTCGAGCAGACAAGTTTGACGCTTTTGCAGTTCAGCTCCTAAGCAACCGCCTTCGCGTCCGACATTGAAGCGAGGTGTTATTAGGTAAAGGGTCGCAGTAAGGATCGTAATTTCTTGAGGCTCCTATGGTAGACGCACGGCAACCTTTGTTCACTTCCAATTGAATACAGCAGGACTGTGCATCCGTTTAGCGCTACTTCGTCACCAAGCTATACTAACTTTGAGTTAAGACTAACTATCGATGACAGTTATTGTGTGTCTCAAACAAAGGTTACAGGAGTAGCAGAGAAGTTATATCAAGGATTGTTTAGTTATTGTTCATTCTGTTCACGAAGCAACTGTACCCGTTAGCCACCTCACAATATTCTGTCCGACGCAGGAGTGCATTTGATAAAATAGATCAGCACTCGAAAGGAGGTAATTGTTCATTTACCTGATGGCGAACTGAAGTCCCTGGAATAGGATATTCGACTGAGAACGGTTGCGTTACGAATGCCCTTGGCCTAAACTGAAACGTTGCGAAGGTTCAGCTAACTGTTAAGCTGGAAAGTCCCTAAGGGCCATCAGCTCGTTTGTACCTTCAGCCTATGATCCTCGCAGCCTCAATGCACCCGTGCTGATTCTGACAATGGTACTGTTACAAAGGTTCGTAAAATCGCTAGACTGAGTTGAAGCTCTTCCCGCAGCGGACCAGCAAGCTTGGAACAAATGGCTGTTAAAAGCCCATGCTCTGAACCTTTTGTCCGTTGAACGTTGTATTTATTAATTTCGAGGCAGGGTATCTTCTCTCTGCAGTTACATTGTTTACCGGATGCACCTGAGGCTGGTTGCGGTGCTTCCCTGTATTTACATTGTGAGGTTGAGGAAGACGAGTTTAGTATTTTCTTGATGGTTAGGAACGCAAGTGCCAGCCTAATTAGAACCGCGTTGATGCCAAGTTTGGAGCTCAGTACTACCGTACTGAGAGTGCGCAGGGCAGAAAAAGTCAGAGAGGAGATGGAACTTCATTGTGGCATAACATGATGGACAGATTTGATGGTAGCATTGAAGCTTCTTCGAAGTGTTTTATGGACGCTTACTGACACAATTTGCTTACCGGATTACCATTAAGCAAAAGTACACTCACCCCAGTCACTGGCACTAGGTAAATATGAAACAAAACCCGGATAATGTAGCTTCAATTGGACGCGCTCTGTCGCTTCAAAAAGAATTAAACCAATAGTTACATAAGCCGCAATTTCTCGTTCAGCCCCATTCGTAATGGCCTACGCATCTGGAGAAACTGGTGAAGTACGGCCTAAATAGTTATGACTCGATGTTGGTCATGTTTTCTTGGCCGATTTATAACCTTGGATTAATAAAGTTAAAGCTCGTCGCGCATGGACTTCCCGGTGCAAAGCTTTCGTTAACTTCTGTGGCTCAAAACCTATTTTGTCATAAAGTACCTGAGGCGTGCTGCACCTGACCATCCAGTTAAGATAGAAAGTACTGAAATTCGACAAGCTACGCTTCAGTTATTTGAGTTGGTGCAGTAAGAATGCTTTGCGAAAGAGAAGCGCCACGCTGAGTAAACTGAACACGACGTAGCAGCCAGAAATTTAAAACTGTCATGCAGCTTAAGACGACTCAAGCCCTGCCTCATTAATAGTGTACTTCTGGTGGACGGAAGGCTGAAGCAACCGTCGGTACTGTGCGACGCCTGGGCTCCGATTTTATTTCACGGACGCCACGTTGTCACTGGCCTTCTTATACTGCGCTACCACTACACCAACGGACAGGCTGGTGCGCAGCATACTTCGTCCCATTTTCATCGACGCTACTGGATTGTAAGTAAAG